TGCAAACACAGATTCCTGAGCAGATTGTAAATATTAATGTTATACACGATATGAGATATTGTCGTACTCTTTACTAAACATTGTACTTTCTTAACTTCACATATTAGTACATTTCCCCTCTTTAAAATAAACGATCCGTTTATCACAGAAGATAAACAGTTGTTTTATCACAGAACACAAAGTTGAGATCCTATTAGTTGAAACTTTAGTCCCACCTATATCAACCAGGTGGCGCTTGTGACAGACCGAGTAGATATTCTTCTTCCAGCACATGGCAAACCCACTTCTTTCATTTCACATGTAGAACTAGGAGACACAGGCTATTCTGTACTATGCACTGCAGACAGTTGATTACTGCCAAAGATAATGCTCGATTCTACATTAACATCAGATTCTTTTGAAAAATTCCTGACTGATACTGTAGATGGCGTCCATCTGGATACCATATATTAGCATAAGTTGGTTTAATCCCCAATAATTCCACTCTGTCAATACTGGATCATGGCTTCCTGATCATACAATTTGTGCAAGATTGGCCCTGATGCAGACAACCACAATGGTAAAGAGTTACCATGGGTAGAACGTTGCTGAAATGTGAAAAAAAAACATCTCATGGGGTGTAGTGTTTGTCACAGTTGACAGCGATGATCTTATATAATGTAAGGCATCAGATAGTACAGCTTTCATCTGCTGTACAGGCAGATTTCTTGAGCTTAGTGCAAGCCTTCCAGATAATCCCCATATCCTCACTACCTGGCCATTACCAATAGGATTATATGGTCTGGATCTACTGATTGTTGGTTGAAGAGATAAAATATCAGTTCCTGAGACATAAATGCAACTCTGTCCGAGCGATTGTATGCAGGCATTCCAGTAAGAGTAACTATTTGTTGAAGGCGAGCAATGACTGTAGACAAGGAACTGCAAAAGATATCTGGAATATTTATCCACAACGGTGAGCATGTAAATATTGCGAGTTGAAGACGGCAACGGTCCTTTAAAATCCCCTCTTAGGCGTTCTAAAGGTTGGGTGGCTTTAGCAAGGGTACCATCTGATGGGCAATAATACTGTGGCTTTAATTGAGCACAATCTTTGCATGCAGCACAAGCAGCTCTTCATTCAAATCCCTCATAAAACAGATTTTGTTTTAGCATCAGAAAATACTTTTTATGTATTTTTTATAAGCATTTTAAAAAATATATATAATTTAGTAGCATTGTAGCGTCTCACTAACAAGGGCGCCCAGCTTGTACGTAGTTAAAACAAAGCGTGACGTGTGGTAGCGCGAGCATCACTTATTTACTGGGGCAAATAGTTACGTTAACTACATTATTTAAAACTTTAGTACAAGTTAGATTACTGTTTAATTCATGGTGGATAGGATGGATATTCCTAAGGCATAAAATAAAATATATACATTTAAAACATACGCTTTATTTAAAAAGAAATAATAAAACACGAAGCAATAAAAAAGACCGTCCACGTTACAATAAAACCCATGAAAATCAACAGAGTATCCAGCCTAAACTTTTGATTCCTGAATCCTAAAATTCCTCACTTGTACTTATCTTAGGCGACCGGAGGTTGAGGTGGGCCGATTCACAGTGGGGGTTTTTGTAATGACAAACAACCGGTTCTCGAAAATCAACAGTCCAGAGCGGCGCTTTCAGAACAAAGGTAGGCTGCAGAATCCCCTGTGGGAAACTAGCGCTGGCTATTTACGTGGGTGTGGGGGATTGTGGGTACTTCAAATGAGAATCAGGGGATGCGCACTGGACATTTTAAAAACAATTTGACATACTGTAGATCTGAATTTTGTATCTATATCGTGGACAGATCATGGAAATAAAACAGAATTAAATCAAGAATTAAATCAAGAAATAACGTAGTTCGGCATTTCTTCTGCGTGGCATACGGCAACAGGCATCCTTGAACATCTCGGTGGCGCCAAACGTTCGGATGCCGCTCGGATGGTCATTTGACGTGGAGGCTGCAATCCAGGTCACTACAACCACCCGCGGGGTCAGGAGTCCGAAGCTGCCTCGATGTGACTGCTCCAGGTGACAACTTCAGGTGCAATTCCCTCCTCTCGTGATTCCATGCCCATCGTTGGTTGCGCGTTCGATGTTCTGGCGGGGACCACGGGCGTCGAGCGGGAATGTCACAAGGCAGCGGAGGACGTCCACATGCAACTAACGTCCACGTAATTGTTCTCTTGCATTCGTACACAGACAGGACCTGCGAAAAGTACAAGCGATAGATATTCTAGGATATGGCAGAAATCAAAAGGTCAAGTCAGGGGATACAATGCGCAATACATGAATAATATGATAACTGGAACGGACGACCTGGAAGAACATTCACCATAAAAACATTTACCATAAAATGCCATTCATTCAGTAATACATTAATTCAGCATTCAGGATTCAGGCAATGCTAAATCTGAAGCATAAAAAGACAAGAGTAAAATATAATAAAATACAATATACAATAAAATAA